ACTTACATACGTACATATATGCATACGTGCATATGGAAATATTTGTGTGAGCAAATGCGAATTTGTTTTTCATTAGCAAGAAAACTATGGAAGGAATTAATTAAATAAACCTTTTCTGCTGATGTAATTTTCCATTTTTACAATGGCAGAACAAAGCTTCCAAAATGATAATATTTTTCGATTTCAGGATACGTACATATATAATGTATATTTTTAAGATAAAGTAATAAAATTTTTCAATGTAAAATAACTGTTAAACGCGTTTCAAAAAATTTTTAGGATATGACTACTAAAACTAATTTTGCTTATTTTTTCACCAAGGCTAACAGATCTTAAAACCTTCTTAAATGATCCTAGTTGCATTAAACTGGAAACAGTCTCCTTGTAGTAACATCACACTTTGGTAGTATGCCTTTCTCAAGATTTTTACCCCATAAAATTTGATTTAAAAAAATCGGTAAATTTTCGTATAATAAAGTACAAGTAGATGGGACTTACCGTTAATATTTGGCTTTTTTTTTTGTTGACGGTACTACACATTTTTTCACTCAAAATAAATATGCTCGCCCAGGGGCGCACCCAGGAATATATTTTAGGGGGAGTTTTATATTTCTAAAAAAGAGTCAGTAAAATTAAATTTATTGATTCCAGGAATTTTTGCACTTCTATGTTCATTTTTTGATTTCTGGTTTTCGATAGAGATGGTGATTTTTCACAATTGCTAAATTTTTTTAATATTTCAAATACCGAAAAAATTTACTGAACTCTCCAGAAAAACGAAAAATTCATATAAAACGACGGACGAGAAATGGAAAAGAAATATTCTTCTACCAAAATTTCTTAAATCAATTTGCAGCTCTCAAGAAAAAAAAGCTCGTATATTTTCGCGCTTTTTCAAGCAACAGAAATTATAATAAATATTTCTTATAATTTCCTCTAGAGCTGGATTCTTAGCTTTAAGATACATATTGTATTTGAGGTTATTAGCTTTAGGGGGGGTTTGAACCCCAAAAGCCACCCCTTGTGTGCGCTAATGTGCTCGACAATTTTTTGATGGAGAAGCAAATGATGACCAGCACGTTGCCCTCTCACTCTACAACAATCAATTTTTAAGAGCTACAAAACTACAACCAAATTTTTTTCTAAGGCTTCTGATTAAAAACATTGAAATTTAGTGAGACTTTGCAGAATTAATTTTGATAGTTTTTGCACAAAGTCGGATATTTGGTTTTTGTTAGGAAAGGACCTTTACTTTCATAAAAAAAATTATAAAGAAAAATAGTCAAACCATGCCAAAATGTAGAGTCCTAATAACAAAGAGTCACTGTATGTGTTCATCAATTCAATAAATTAATTACCAGGACAATTGGTCAAAGAAGAGGGCTGTCCCGTGCCAATAATACATTTCCTATTAGTTTAAAAACATTTTGGTGAAATAACAAATTGCCTAAACAGGTACTAAGCGTTATTTTAAGTGAACAAATTTTAAGACTTTACGAGAAAGTGGCACTTAACACGTCTTGTGAACCCCTTATTGTCCTGATTTTGCTCTGGGGTTTGAAAGCACTTGGTTTTATAAAAAAAAATTAACCTACTTACCAGGAAGTGTAATCATTATGGGAAAAATAATTTAAATCAGCATTTAATCATTAGTTTATGTTTTTTAATTTTTCGCTTACAAATAATTATTATTATTGAGTTTTACTTTTTCGCTTAACAGATATAATTCTGTGATCATGAGCAAGAATTGCCTCAGTCAACTTAAGAAAGAATTGAGTTATATATATGCTATCGTATTCTGCAACTACTATTCCAGGTGTACGTGAAATCCTCATGTCTCCAATTAGGTTGTTTAAAAAGTTAAAGACGAATATATTTTGGTTTCCGCATAAGGTTAACATTACAAGCCAAATATTTAAAAGATTTTTTTTTCTATGACCACAGAATTGTTATTTGATTTTTTTTCTCGATCACAAATAATGGTTATTTTTTGGACTTTTATTTTTTTCGCTCAGAGATAACAATTATTACTGAATTTTATTTTTCCACTTAAAATAATGATTTTTTATAAAATTTAAAAGGCCATACAGACGCAACCAAATGAAATTGTTACCAGAAAATTTCGGGACATATTCCTCTTAGTTTTTAGGGTGTCACTAACTCTGAAAAGGATATATCGGAAATCAAGCTGGTATAGCTTTTTAGTTTTTTGAATAAAATTTATTCTTAAGTGAAAAAAATAAACTAAAAAGGATAATCCGCAATTAACATTTCTACTCAAATCGTCGCCTGGGTAAAAGATTGCCGTAAGCGCCATTTTGACGATTTTTAGTTCTATATGCAGTTATATATTTTGAAATAAGATCTTTCGATTGGTGTTATCAGTTTTTAGACTTCTCCTTTAGTTTCCGAGATACTGACTACAATTTTTTCGATAATTTAGTAAAAATTTAGTTAGTGATGCAGTCATATTAAACTAATCAATATCTTAAAAATGGTGTAGTCCATTTTTGTATATCTCCTTTGGTTTCTGAGATATGGAGTAAAAAGTGTCGTTAATTTAGTACAAAATTTATCTAATTTTGTCTTATTTCATACAAAGTGGCTGCCAAATTGTGAACAAATTACGCTTACGACAAAATTTTAGTAAAGAAAATCCTTCATCAACTCAAAACTAACTAATTTTGTGAACTCGTAACATTTTCATACGACAATCTTTTACCCAGGCGACGAAATGCAATAGCCCTGCTAACCGACCCGCCAACTACATACATACATTCATATTTACATACATATGTATGCACATATATACACACATTAACCGCAATGTTACTGCGCACAGCAGCACCTTCTGTTCATGTCCGAACGTGTTCTCAGCGCAGCCGAAGTCTATGAAAAGTGAACTGTAAAAATACTACGCTGCCGCTGCTCTACTTTCCTGTTGTTGTTGTTCAATAACAAAATTCTGAGCAACAGAGAGCAGGGCACTCAACAAAAACAAACACAAGCATATAATAAGTGTACCGTTATCGCATACAACAATAGCAACGCTAACACAACCACCACCCCAACACCAACACTACCACCAGCACCATTCCACCACCAAAACATACATATTTAATGTTAACATGAGGCGCCTTTTAGCAGCTGAGCAGCACCGCCCTCTCAGAAGCGATATAACCAAACCAACAAGTAAAATAACAACATAGCGAGGTGGCGTACGAATTTCGTGTTACCGGGCGCGTCGCAGCTACTGCAAAATTAACAAAAACATACAACTATACAACGAATTGGATTTTTACGAGTACTATACGTCAATCCATACCCTGCAGGAAACTGAATCAGTTTGAAAGTAATTTATAAACTAAATACTTTATTTTCAATGATAACTAACTGAAATTGTCACTATTTTACCTGCAACGAACTCATTTATTTGACATGGCGATGTCCTGCGTGTATTTTCAACTACACTTAGGTCTCTTTTTTTATGTGGTACATGCGTTCCTCAGAAAGCCACATAACAAATATCAGCATAAAAAAGTTCTTTACTTTCATACAAAAACAGGGGATGCGTTCCAGCATTTTCAAAAACGGCATAAATTCAGATACTCCATTTAAAAAGTTCTAAAAACCCGCATAAAAAATCCAGTGAGGCAATATGTATTAAGCAAAAAAAAAACAAAAAAATTTCAACACTTATTATTCCATGTAAAACTAAACATTAATGAGATAAATAAAGTTTTATCTGTTTTTAACCAAAAAAATATAAAAAATACCACAATAAATACAAGAACTATGAAGCATTGTCTCTTACACACTGAAAAAAAGTCATAAAAACTCTCAAACAAGCAAAATATCTACAGGGAAAAAATGGCTTGAAAACCCGCATAAATTCAAATCCGCATAAAAAGAGATCTAAGTGTACTTCAAAATTAATTTAGTTTAAACAACTTCAAAGTCGGTATGTTTCGTTTGAATACGCTTTCGTTCTGCATTTCACAGATGGTTTTCATAACTAATAAAAACCGAAATTAAAAATTTAAAACTAAATGAGAATTGAACATGGGCATTCTTGGCTGCGACCAACATATTTGCACGCACAGCTACAGTCAGACATGTAATTGTGCTTTCAAATATTCAGTTTGAATTGTGTGAAAGCAGCAAGTCGACTGTCCGAGTCTGCATTTAATTTCAACTACTTTAAAATGAATTTAGTTTACACACCTTCAAAGTCAGTATGTTTCTTTTGAATACGCTTGCGTTCTGGACTTCACAGATCCTTTTTCATATTTCCAAGACACACATTGTTTTTTTTTTTTGCTTTTTGAGCAAAAAGAGTATAAAAATTCTAAATATTTACTCATTGCATTTGTTTTATAGTAGTCTTGCAATTAGTTGATTTAAAATTTCAATTAGTTGATTTAAAAAAATATCACTTGTTTCCGTGAGGGTATCATGTGCCTTGAGTACAAATATGTATACAGAACAAAGCAGCAGGGGAAGTTTCCTATAACAGAACGCATCAAAACAGCAACAGCGTAGGTAAAAGGCGCAGCAGTCGAGTGCAATGGCAGCGGAGCCACGGTACTGTGCGCAACATAACGGTGAACAGCCCTTGTATTTGGCTGTTACGTAGTGGGCAAAATTTTAAAAACGAAAGAAGATTGTTGAGATAGTTTTTTTCATGTGTTGCAAAGCACACCGTCGTAGCAGAAGTCACCTAAAGTTAGCAGAGCAACGTCTATAGATGCTGAGCAATGATAAAAACGGCTGGTAGTGTTCTAGGTACATATGTATGTATGTATGTATGTATTTAGCATGTGATGGCTGTTATCGTTTTTGGAGGTGGCGTAGTTGCTGATTGTAACAGTGGGTAGTTTTAATGCATGGATGTTCAGCAGGCAGGTATTACTTTGCACAGTGGTAAAAATTCTGCTCTCAGCTTATCGCCACATACACACACACACACACACAGGACGGCAGCGGATGGTGGTAGCGTCTGCGCCGACGCTGCTGCCAACTGGCACAATACCGTTGACGGAAATCGGACGCCGATTGTCGACTGCGACCGCCAGCAGTCACGCAGAATGGCAGCATGCCTGCGACACAGCCACACAAAAATCATCACAAGAAATTGTAGTAGCGACTAGAACGTCGCGCGGTTAACAACGCGTTGTTCCCCAAAAATAATTGGATTGAAATTCATATGAAAGCAAATTGTAAACTTGGATTTCAAAAGTTCTAAATTAAAGTGTGAAAGGAAATGAAAAAACACATAAAAAATAAGGTAAATTATAGAGAAGAAAAAATTATTGAAGAGCAAAACAAACAGTGAATAACGCAAAGTAAATTGAAGTTATGTACATAGTAAAAAAAAGTTACGGAGAGAATTTAAAAGTAAAAATTTGCAGTTGCAATAACTCAAAACCGCGTCCCGAACGCAATTGAAGTAGTAGCAGTCTTCGTGCTTTTCATATGGCAAGAGTATAGTGTCAGCCTAATAACAAAAATAAACAACCGGTTGCATTGCCGCTGCTAAATAACAACAACATTTGAAAAGTGAACTCGAATTAATAAAAGAAAAGTAATTGATAACAATTGTGGAGCGAAGTAAAATTGTGTGAATGCATTTCGTACACACTGTGGTGAACTGTGCTTATTTAGTCAACTAAAGGTGCATAAAAAACACTGTGTACCTAGTTACTTTGTTCTTTTGACGCGCCACCATTTTCTAACGGAAATCAGACGTCGTCGGTTAATTTGTATCTACGCCAACTTTTTCGAAATAGAAAACTTTAAAAATTAAAAAAAAAACACCCACACACACATATGTAAATACTTAATAAACACTTCCGCTCTTGCAATGGCGCCCACACGCAGTTATAACTCTTAAAAAAGCAGAACAAAAAAAATTTGAAACAAAAAACATTTCATGTTAAATGTATTAGCTCGAATCAAAATCAAGTGAAAATAAATTGCCGCCGCATTTGCCGATTTTTGCTGATTTTCTTTGGCAAAGAAATCTTAAACGCATAAACTACGCGTAGGTACTAACAAAGATATCTCATTCCAATGTTGTCTTGCCTGGTGCCGTCGTCATCACGTTTTGGCCAAGAGGATAATATTATAAATCAAAGTATGCCATCATCACCAGCGTTTGCCGTGCAATGTAAGTGAAAATCGTATTTATTTAAGTACCTACCTCGATTAAGAAAACTATATAGTTTCAAGTAGAACATTTTGAGGTGAAAACACCAAATAAGAATATGATAAAATTTGTCGAAATTTTAAATTAAACTGAAATTCCTTTAAAGTAAATCGTTAGCTATAGGTTGGCTGCGAATCATTTTAAAATTTTAACTACTCTCAAAATTGCATTTAGTAATAATCCAATCTATCCCTGAATAAATCAGTAATCGTCCAATTGATCTGCTATTTGTTATGTGGTACTCTCGCTTTGAGATTCTGCAAAAATTTTGTTTTAAATCAGCAAATCTCAAACAAAAATATCTTCGAACGAACATATGTATGTATGTATGTCAATACTTTCTAATTTTACACTCAGGAAAAAGTCGGCGACATACATTTCTTTCAACACATGATTGGGTAAATATAACTAAATAATGTAGCTATAACCAAATCATGTATTGTAACTAAACTTTTTTCTCAGTGCAGGTACACACAGAAAAAAGTCAGCTAAATAAATTTCTCTCAACACATCATTTGGTAACTATAACCAAATAATGTAATTATAACTAAATCATGTGTTGAAGAAAACATATTTAGTTGACGTAACTAAACTCTTTTCTCAGTGTACTTTGTGGAATGCCATCGAAAGGTGGTTATAATAAATCAGAAAAATACAAAAAAAAACCAGGAAAGCCATTCTATGCATAATCATCGATTAAACTGCTATTCAAAGATGAAAATATGAATTTTAAACTTTAAAACATTTTGATTGTACACCCAATAAAAAAAAATAAGCTAAAAATATGTATATCTCTCAACACATGTTTTCCTAATCATAACCAAACCATGTGTTTAGCTGACTTTTTCTGGGTGTAATCACTTTTAATTGTTTTAAAAGCTGCTCTGCCAGCACCAACTTCAATTGAAAAAAAACGCTTAAAATCACTGACCTGGGAAAACTGAGAAGTAACTTTTCTATATACATACAAACCAAACTTTCAGAAATACATACTAAGTTTCATTAATTTCCCAGCCGACTGCCGAACAGTGTAGGTAGGTAATACTTGCTAGACGAAAGGGTATATCAGACGAAGAAAATGTCTTCTTGTCAAAACGAAATCATTTAAAATTTATCGAAAAGCCCCATAATTTTGTCAGAGGTAACATTTTAAAAATTAGATTTTCTTTCAAAAACAAGTCAGAAAGTCGTAAGTGCGGGCGAAGCCGAACATTAAATACCCGGCGCAAATACTAAACATATGTTTTTCACCTTTCCGAAAGCTAACGCTACGTAGTAAGCCGGGGTGTTTCAATTTTGAGTAAATTAGCGTCCTCAAATTTCGAAATATTGAAGTTTCAAGCATTTCTGAAATTTACCGTTATATGAAAAGCGGCCGTAATTTCAATAATTCAATAATAATAACGTTTTGCTTTTATGTGGCAAGCACAATAACCATACCGAGTTTGGTACAAATTCGTAGAACGGTTACCGAGATACATATATGTGATTATAAGTGGGCGGTGCCACGCCCATTTTCCAAAAGTTTATCATAAACGTATTTCTTGGTAAAGAATTGTTGCTTTGATATTTACTGATTTATCGAAGATTTCGTATTTGCCTAAATTACCGTTATATGGGATGTGGGCGTGGTTATTGTCCGATTTAAAAATTTTGGACCATTTGATATGCTATACCAAGGCCAATAACTGTGCCAAGTTTGGAAGAAATTGGTGCAGCGGTTACCAAAATATACACATGTAACCATAAGTGGGCGTGGCTACGCCCATTTCCCAAAAATTTATTATCTTATTTTTCATCTAAAAATTATTGTAAATATCAATTTTGAGTGAATAATTTTTAGTAGTTACTAAAATATCGCAGTTTTCGGATTTCTAAAAATTACCGTTATATTGGAGGTAGGCGTGGTTATTGTCCGATTTTGCCCATTTTCAATACCATCGGTCTTACGCCCGAAATAAGTGCACGTACCAAATTTCGTTAAGATATCTCAATTTTTACTCGAGTTATCGTGTGCACAGACGGACGGGCGGACAGACAATCACCGCTTAATCGATTTATCTTTTATTCTGATCCTTTGTGTATACATTTGTCTATATCTATCTCGATTCGTTTTGAATACCCTTGTGCACAAGTGCGCTCGAGTATAAATATAGTTTTCTTATTTTAAGAAGCGAGGTTTCTTGAAGTTAGGAACATAGGGGTTACTTTGTAGGTACTTCTGCCCGAAGTTGTTTATGAAAACAAAATCTTTTAGCTTTAATTTAGAAATCAATATGGCAGAATAAGTTCGAGGTATTTTGGATTAAAAGTAAACCAGAACCCATTTTTAATTCCACTCCCAACAGCTCATCTGACATCCCTCTCCCCATGACCCAAACCCTTCGGATCTGGCTTTTCCCAGAGCCTACCGTTAGATAAAAATGAAGAACATGCAGCGATGCACTGATTTAGACAGAGATTTGCTACTAATACAAAAAATAACAATAAAAGAATTTCGTTCGGCATTCATTTTATTTTTTAAGTGATTTTCTGCAGTAGAAAGATTTCTAGTATTCAGATAACAAATTAATAAAAATGTTGTACTTCCGTTTTCAATAAACCAAATATTTAGAATGTTTAGATTCTGGTTTGTAAATAAACCAGGTGAAAGCCCGGTTTATTTAGCTGTAAAAATCCGGTTTACACGGTCCTCGAAAAGTCAAGATTTCAAAAATACCGCCTAAATGTATCAAAAAAACCGATTGAAACCGGTTTGGAAAAACCGAGTCAATCACCATAACAACAAGGCGGTTCCCAATTTAAAAAATAAAAATAAATATATGGACGTTAAATTGAGAAACAGTATTGGTCAATGGGTTACAACAAATAAATGTAGATCTTAGATCTCGAATTAAATCCGGTTGTTCTCAAAATCTAAATGCCTTATAAACAATGTTTTTTAAAACTAAATGGGAACTACATACATACATACATGCCTTCACGCACATGCATAGGTACTTTATTTTTCTTCAAACTTCGTGCTTACATATTGTTTTAGGGTATGTTCACATAGAAAGCGGAGCCGAGCGGAGTGAAGCTTTCAAATTGCAGTAGCTAGATATATTTATTTATTTATTTATTTATGTTCATACAGCAAGCTTTTTCAGAAACGTTTTGGGGCTGAAAGCAAAGCAGTTTTTAATTTTTGGTTTTCTATTTAATTTTTCTTCTTCATGGCGCTGCTGTAAACAAAATATCAAAATATTTAATAAGAACGAATTTTTTCACTGGTCTTTTGAACAAAATAGAGCAAATATATTGGCCTCGTTCAGTGTGAAACCCTGGAGGTTCGCTTCGCTCCGCCTTTCTTCGCTCGGCACCGCTCGGCATTCTGTGTAAACGCACCATTAGACAGCGGCGAAGCTTGGTTTTCATCTCCTATGAAGAATGTTTCGATTCTGAAAGAACATAGTTAATAGGGTAGGTACCATGTATCTTCTAATTTCAAATTTATAGAAAAAAAAACTATTCGTAAGGCTGTTGGAGGGACCTTTTTAGCAATTCAAGATCACTTCGCTCTTTTCCTCTTACATAGACATAACACGACATATTAAATTGAGGTCCAGAAAAAAATAATATTTCGCTTCGTTATTCTGGTTTTTACAGTTTTTATGGTCACGTCTGAAGATTGTTTTGGGTGATATTCAAAAAATCGGTTCATTTATTTGATAGAATGTGCAACCCCTTTCGATGTCTGAATTTTTACCTGAACTATTCCTCTTCTTGATCTCGGTTTTGGAGTCAAAAAATTTAATTTATCCGTTGCAACCATTAAATTTAAAGGTATTTCGTCCTATAAACCCGTAAGCACTGTGGTCGTGCTTCAAAAACGTCTGAGCCCGACAAAATTTCAAGTGTGTTCCATTAAGTTGCTCATTTATCAATTTTGTTACAGAGACCCTCCTGTTATGAAGATGGTGATCTCACAACGCACATTCTGTCAGACCAACCGGATACAACTGCTAACCAATACTTGTGTTTTTTTATTCGCTATAGCTCGCCTGTAGAGATTCTTTTTAATACAAGTTTATTCCAAATTTTGCACTTATCTTTCTGAATGGTTTATATTAAAGACAAGGTTAAGGAGCCATTTGCAATAGCATTTGAAAAAAAAGCGTCTGACGTTCGTAATTTTTAAGTTTGCTATTTCTGTTTTGTTTTTTTTTCGCATATCTTTCTTTAACAGGTATATTCTGCACGTTACCGAAGATTTTGTAACCGGAAAATTTTATTACCAAAAAATGTTACCAGTTCTTGTCACCGCGATTCTAGGTACGTTGGGTAAGGCAGTTAAAATATTCAGCAAAAATTCAGCTATGAAGAATTGTGCAAATTCTGGCATTGCATATTTCACGGGGCAATACTTTGTTACCAGCTTATGAGATGGCAACAAAATTTACCGGTTACAAGAGTACACAGAATGCGAAAAGTGTTTAAAAATTGACAGGAACTTTATTTACCGGCTACAACCATTTTATTACCAGCGCAGAATAGGCCTGTAAGTGTATATTGGTGGGGATTTATTTCAGTGATTTTCAATACATTTTTTGTACAAAAATAATAAATTGATTCACTCAAAAATTGCTTAATTTTTTCCAGGGTTTGAAAAACTGTTCGAACAGCAGCAACAGCACTATTCTTTTTGCTTTTGCTTCGCTTTGAAATTTTTTATTTTCATTCGAACAGCTTCGCTTTTGCTGTGATTTTGAAAATTGTATTCTTTTTATCGGCAGTTTATTGAAAAAATTTATTGCTTTCGATTTACTGTGATGAAATTTTGATATTGAATCAAAATAAAAATCTGTTTCCTATTGGATTATTTATGATTACGTTTTAGGAAATTATTCAGCAAGCTTTTTAAAGATTTAAATGTTGGCGTCATGCGGCAAATGCTTATTTCAAGACATCAAAGTGCCCAC